AGGACATCGGTGGGAATGTGAGCTCTGCCTGACATAATGGTAACTGCTGCCATCTACTGAGGCTTGCCGTGAATGTGCTTGTCAGCAAATTCTGCAGCTCTCAGTTCAAACACCTCTAGTCCAAATCACCATCCCCTCTCCCCTGGACTGTTGTTGCCTGGGGCTCCTTGCTCTTCTCCCTGCCTCTACCCTGGCCTCCCGGAGTCCATTCCCCACACACGGCCAGAGGGACGATGTTAAAATCAAAGTCGGTTCGTGTCCCTCTTCTGCTCAAAACCTCCTCATGGCTCCTGACTCACTCAGAGTAAAAGTCAAAGGCCTCACCGTGACCTTAAGATCCTGCACACTTTGACTTTACTCTGATTCATCTCTGTCACTCTCCTCCCCTTGATCTCTGCCCCTGGATCTCTGCTCCAGCCACACCAGCCTCCTCCTTGTTCCTGCAACATGCCAGACATTCTCCCACCTTAAGGCCTTTGCACTTGCTGCTGCCTCAGGCTGGGCCGCCCTGGGCCCACACACCTGCAGGCTTCCCCCTGACCAACTTCCGGTCTCCGTTCAAACCTCGCCTTCTCCTGTAGGCCTGCCCTGACCACCCTATTTAAAATGGCAGCCCCACCGCTCCCTCCCTCCTTCCCCAGCGCTTACCACTTTCCAACGTGCTATATAACTTGCTTATTTATGTTGATGTATTGTTCAGCACCCCCCTCCCCACTCCCAGAGTGGAAGCTCCCAGGACAGAGAGCTCTGTTGTGTTCACTCTTGTGTACCCCGCACTTACCACGGGACTGGCACATAGCAGGTGCTCAAGAAATATCTGCTGAATGAATAAATGACAGATGGCATGTGCCGGGAATTGGGCCACAAACTCTAGGTCGCTGAATTCACTGAATGGTCACAACAGCCCTATTTGCTAATCACTACCCATTTTTCGGATATGGAAACTGTCAGGGGACGTCCCTGTGACAGAAGTGCAAAGGCCCTGACGCCCCGAGGTAGATTGTCCTGCTTTCGGGGGTGTCCTTCGGGCTTGGAGTTGTCCGTGTTTAATCTCACTATCTCCGTGTTTATTTCTGGGCTCCGTCCTTGCTTGCTTGGTCGCGTGTTCTCCCTTAATCACTGCGTCCCAGACAGCTCCCTGCGGCTCTGGCCCCCACGAATGTCTCCGAGTTTCTCTGTCGGAGTGGGGGTGGGGGAGTCCCTGAATCTCTACTTCCGTGTGGTGTCCCTCGGTCTCCGGGTCTCTGCGCCCCGCAGGCCTCTGGGGCGAAGGCTAGCGGC